ATCTTTGTTGCTCTTCTCTGCACTCTTTCTAGAGTCTCCACATCTTTTCTACATCGTGGCGACCAAAACTGAATGCAGTTTTGGTTGCCACGATGCAGTCTTAGGTTATGTCATTATTAATATTGCCACTGCTCCCCTCCCCCACCATTAATGCTGCTCGAGATGGCAATACTGACCAAAATAAAAGGCATAAGCAATAGTGAATATTTCCAAACTTACAGCAGGCCATACTACAGCTCCAAAGCATTCAATGGATTCTTGAATGATGATCTGATGGCCAGCATAACAATAATGTTCTTTGTCAAAATAGTAGGAGGCCTTTGAAACCCATTTGGGCAATATTTCAAATACAGGTGGACCTGTGGAGGTAAAATGATCAGCAGTCATTTGTTTACCTATTTTCTGTGAGATGCTACAGAATAAAACAAAACTTTGCTCTAAAATCCTCATGATACAGGTGGTCCTCGACTCACAACAGTTTGTTTAGTGACCGTTCAAAGTTACAACAGCACTGAAAAAAAGTGATGTATAACCATTTTCCACACTTATAAACAACTGTTGCAGCATCTCTACCAGTGGTGGGTTTCAAAATTTTTTAGAACCTCTTCTGTAGGTATGGCCTGCTTTGTAGGAGTGGCTTGCTGACCATGTGACTGAGTGGGAATGGCTTGGAAGTCATGTGACAGGGTGGGCGTGGCCAACTTGTAAAATGTGGTGAAACTCACTTAACAAACACTCTTGCTTAGCAACCAAAAGGTTGGCTCAGAAACTCTGACATTTGAAGCATGCAAGTCTTAAAGCTGTCAAGGTACAAGACCCTTGCACCCGTAACCTTTTAGAAAAAAAAGCCCCAGGGGTGTTCAAACTTGACAGCTTTAAGACTTTAAGGTTTAGATAGGACTCTTAGAGGCAGGCGGGTGAGGTGAGGCAGCCAATCAGTGAGCAGCAGGCGGGGCAAGCATGGTGCGGACGGGCGGGGAGAAGGAGCTGGAACCAGTTCTAAACTGCACTGTAGATTTGTGGAACCTCTTCTATAGAAGAGGTTAGAACTGGCAGGAACCCACCCCTGATCTCTACAATCGCGCGATCGAAATTTGGGTGCTTGGCAACTGACTCGTCTTTATGACGGAGGGTCATGTGATCCACTTTTGTGACCTTCTTACAAGCAAAGTCGATGAGGAAGCCCGATTCACTTAATAAAGAGGCTAATGGATTCCCTTTTGGTGATTACAACCTTTGTTGCAAACAATCATTCTGGACATTTTCATATGCATAATGTCATTTCATTCAATTCTACTTGTGAGACGTGGGGGAGGTGAGTATTCTCCCCCCTCTCTCCCTTTTTCTTTCTCTTTCTCTGAGAGAATGACTTCCTGTAATGCTTTCCTTTTGTTTTTGATGACTACAATTCCAGAGACGGTGCTCGGGTGCGGTTGAGAGTTCCTTTTCTGAGAAGGGGTCCTTCACATTTATCATGTCTCTTCCTTGGGGCCTTTGTTACGCGAACCTTTTTTTTTTTTTACATGTTCTTCAGAAGGCAGGAAGCCTGATCCTGAAACTGAAAACAAATTCCTGATTTCTGGATATGCTTAGGAGTGGATTATTAGCCATCTCTCCCTTTCAGAAGCACCATGAATCTACGGCTGCTTGCTGTTGTGGCCCGCCAGCTGGCAGTGGAGCTGGTGGCAGATTTGGACGATGAGGAGGTTGGGGAGGAACTTGGGCCAGTGCTGGAGTCTGAGGAAGGCTCTGATGGATGCTCTGCGTCAGACCCAGAGATACAGCCAGGGCCATCCGACATTTCCCAGTCACCGGAGAGGCAGCTGCCTTTGGAGGCTGATATCAGTGGGGAGGAAGAACAGCTGAGGCCTGTTCCAGGTGCATGTATGCAAAGAGCAGTTAGGAGAGGAGAACGACAGAGGACAAGGAGTAGACTCGGGAAGCAAAGCACATGTGGACACTGAATGGCCCCTCCCTGGCAGGGGAATAAATAGAAGGAAAGGGGAGTGGTTGTTGTAGGAGACAACAGTTCGTATTTCTGAAGATTTTGCTCATCGTGTTTCGTGCCTCAAAGACTGCTTGCCAGAAGTTAATTTGCAGCCTTTTGGCTGGGAACTTGGTCTTGCAATTATTGCAAGGAACTGATAAGGTCTGTTACTGCAGTTAACTCCTTGAAGGACTATTGCCTGGACTTTTCAATGAGTGAATGCAATTAACTCACAAGAGGTAAATAAAGGGAGTGTGTGACAAGGAGTCTATTTCTTGCTACTGCTAAGGCTGGGTCAGAACACTTGTCTGCTGCCTTACCATGAATCTGCATTGTTCAGACAAGGGACTCCCTGCAACCAAATGGAACATCTGGAAGGAAGCAGCGGGTTTTTTTCGTGCTCCCAACCTTTCCAGTTTCCACTTCAGGAAACTGAGCCAAAAGGACTACGTCCAGTGAGAAGGCAGAGCATGGATGCGCTGTAACTCGTCCTGTGTTGGGGATTCACCAGAGAGAAGTATCCTTTGGCAAATTGCACTGGATGAGGGCATGTTGGAAGAGCACCGATGTACCATTGGCAGGGGGAAAATGCTGGCAGAGGGCCAGCCGACAATAAATGCCCACATTGGATCTACAGTAGTGGGAGGCTGGCGATGGAATGGGTGCAGACATGTGTCCATGGTTAATTGTCCTAGACCCCACTTTCCCCAACGCCCATGAGCATCTCTGAATAGCAGAGACTCTGAATACAGATAGTTTTCGACTTACAACAGTTCATTTAGTGACCATTCAAAGTTAAAATGGCACTGAAAAAAGTGACTCTGGATCTTTTTCACACTTACGACCGTTGCAGCATCCCTATGATTGTGTGGTTTATATTTAAATGCTTGACAACTGACTCACATTTATGACGGTTGCAGTGTCCCGGAGTCTTGTGATCCCCTTTAGCGACCTGACAAGCAAAGTCAATCAGGAAACCAGATTCACTTAACAACCAGGTTACTAATTTAAGAATTGCAGGGATTCACTTAACAAATGTGTCGAGGAAAGTCATCCAATGAAGCTGAAGTTGCTTAACAAATTTCTCACTTAGCAGCATCAATTTTGGGCTCAATTGAGGTCATACGTTGAGGACTAGCTGTACTGCCTTTGCAAATCGTTGCAATAAAAACTGAGGATGAATACAATTCTCAAAATTTAGTACTCGTGTTTTATCTGGTGAGCAATGCTAAAACAACTTTTTAAATTATTACTGAATGTGGTCAATCTATTACATAGCTTAGAAGGAAACAATATATTCATGCCCGCGTGCATGTTTTAAAGTGCCACCTGAGTCTGGTAATAGAGAAGAATTGTCGTGGTAGTCCTCTTCCTCTTCTGTTAATTTTTGAGCCATTTTAGGGAGCATCTGGTGCTTTGTAGATATCATAGCAGGAATCCTGTTAAAGGAACAATCAAACCATGGACCGTAAGCTTAAATCACCATTTTTCTAATTCATCTTTCTAACATCTTGCTGTATTAAGAAGCACCATGCTGAAGCATTTCTTTTGATCCAATGCTGGATTTCTTTTCTACCCCCAAAAAATCAAAAGCCTTTCACACGGTTTGTTATCTTGACAGTGGCAAATTGGAAGCCCGAAGGCAATTTAAGGAATGCTGATAACCAATTCATATCCTGGGAAACCAGCTTTCTCTTGTCTCCTGAGACGCTATCTACAATTTTCCTCAAGCATTTTCATTGGATTGAGGGAAAGACTAGCCTTCATCCGTTCATATTAGGTGGATAATCTTTCAGTGGCCAAAAGTTTGAGTGCATGGGACCTGTAGCAGGATTGAGGGCAGGGAAGAGGAGTTTGGGGCTTTAAAAAAACAACAATAAAGAGATATGCCTCTTTCAAGATGAAGAAACTAGCAAAAGGGGTATCCTAGGCCCACATCTTGGAATTAAGACTTGATACCCTAAGGATATCCTTTCTCATCCTTGCCTCTTTTCCCCCTGCCCCTCTATGTGGCTTTAAAAAAAAACATGTCAGTCTCAGGAACAAAACTCTTTTTTTCTTAAATTGCTACCTGAGATGCTGAATTTAAGCTGAATTGCAGAATTGGAAAGCTAATAAAAACAAATCTATAAAAGCACATTCTTTGTATAGTGAACTCTGTAAGAAATTATGTTAACAGAAATCCATACATTGCGATGACTCAGGTTTTAAATAGGCTAACGCAAATAAATTAGCTTGGTGCACCTTCTTTAAAGGTAAAGGTTCCCCTTGCACATATGCATTCCTGACTCTAGGAGGCGGTGCTCATCTTTGTTTCAAAGTCAAAGAGCCAGCGCTGTCCGAAGACGTCTCTGTCACGGGTTGGTTCCTACTGGCGTTGGTACCAATTTGCTTCGTGCGCACCAGATGTGCGTTTCTCACACATGCATAGTTCACTATAAATTGTTCTGCGCATGCACGAAGACCATGAAAAGCTAATAAAAACCATGGCGGCAATGGCAGCAAAGACTGGGGAACAGGTTCAGGGGCGTGGCCAGCCTGGGTTGCTGCTGGTTCTGTGACCCAGGCCAAATGACCACTACCGGTTCACCCGAACCGGTGCAAACTGGTAGAAACCCACCTCTGGTCTCCATGGTCATGTGGCCAGCATGACTAAATGCCAAAGGCGTCCGGAACATTGTTACCTTCCCACCAAAGGTGGTTCCTGTTTTTCTGCTTGCATTTTTGCATGCTTTTGAACTGCTAGATTGGCAAACCCTGGGACAAGTAACGGGAGCTCACACGTTATACGGCGCTAGGGATTCGAACCGCCGAACTGCCGACCTTTCTGATCAACAAGCTCAGCGTTTTAGCCACTGAGCCACAACATGTCCCTGCATCTTCTACGGTATGGGTTAAATCCTTGCTTATTCATCCTCCAAGACCTGTTTTAGCTACGGCAACAATGAAGAGATAGCAGCAACAGTGAAAGAGATTGTGTGAAGCAAAAACAAGGGGAACCTCTTTTCAATAGTAGTTTTATTGCTGGTCCACTATGTTAAAAGAATCTCATGAGATGACTGCATTTCCTTGAAAATAATAAAATAAGGTAAGGCTTGAAAATGTTTTGGCGGAGGCCTGGCTTGTGCCACTTACTGTAATACAAAGACTGTAAACTTGGGTCCCACTTAACATCTTCATCCAGATTCCACTGTAGGAACTTAGCATCTAACGCTCTCCTAGGAAAATGAGACATTTTAGGAAATAGTAAAAGGGCAGAATATTTCCCTTAAAAAGAAAAGTAGAAACTCAGAGAGGCAGAAACTCATTCCCCTACCTGTGTTAATGGGCCATTAAGGCCTGGGTCAGTCTATTCTATATAACAAAGATCTGCCCCATTTCATTGCCCTTCATTGCACCACCCACCAAGTTTCAACCAAACTTAGACAACCTTCAAAGCTAGCTATGACCTCTGACAGCAGCCAATCAGGGTACTCTTCCTGTGCCCCAGGAAGTTCAAAGCCCAGAGAGGGCATAAAACCCAGGGACTTTCACCATCTCTTCCCTTTTTCCCCCAAGAGCTTCAAGGCATGTGATTCTGTCCACCATTAGATTAGACCATCTTTCCAAACAGCACAATTTTGCCGTAGATAATGCAAACCTTTCCAACTTCTAATTATCTACATTAAAAATTTGCAGTAATAAACATGAGCGCTGTTTTTTTTTTTAAATGAACCTATGCCTGTTTCTCAAATTGATCATATATATCTGGACTGTACATGTGGCCGGAGCCCTCTGTTCCTAGTATATGCCTGCTTGACAAAACCACTATTTTGAATTGGATTTTGATTGCTAATATTTGGGGCAGAGAGACACGGTGGCTCAGACGCTGAGCTTCTTGATCAGAAAAGTTGGCAGTTCAGCAGTTCAAATCCCTAGCACCATGTAACAGAGTGAGCTCCCATTACTTGTTCCAACTTCTGCCAACCTAGCAGTTCAAAAGCATATAAAAATGCAAGTAGAAAAATAGGAACCACCTTTGGTGGGAAGGTAACAGCATTCTGTGCACCTTCGGTGTTTAGTCATGCC